GACTGGAACATGTAGCTGATCAATCCTTCAGGGAATGAAACGGACGTTACGATTACAAGCAAGAGGCTGACCACCACCACGCAGTACAGCATTTATGGAAATGGGGAACTTGTCAGCTCCATAATTAAAGAAGTAGACTACATACTAAAGCTGAACAAAGTATCCAAGTAATTATCACTGAGCTACAGCTAAGACTGTGTTACTATTATCACGATAATAAACCATGATATCATGATATTAAAAAAACTGTGATATATCAAGTAAAGATTTAGGCGATAAAACTGACTAACTTCCTCATATTTTGACATTTTTAATCCATTTTCATATTTGAAACATACAATACAACAAACGTGTCGGAAGTTCAAATTCTGGCATGCTTTGCTATAGTGAAACATACTCGCCATAATTTTGGAAAAATTTGTCACTGAATGAAGTGTGTAGGAGTGCGTATCTATGTAAAAAAAATGTCATTTCCGCAAAACGCATTTTAAATTCGACCCCCCCCCCTCCTCTTTTCTCCACACCCCCTCCCACCAAAAAAAATAAAAAATAAAAAAGTACCTGTAGGTTCAAGAATTTCCATAACAGAGTTCAAAAAATTCGGTAGAGTAAATGGATCACTTGGACAAGCCAAAATGCCCCGTTTTGTACAAGCATCAATCAGTACAACGTTAAACAGTTCCTCTGTAAATTACAAGTGCTAAATGATTTCAGAAAGTGCTTGAAAGCCCAATTCTAAGTGGCACTGTTCGCGACGAGGTGAGCGATTTCAGCACACAAATCAAGATTCATATTCGTTTTCTGGCAGTTATTTCTGTTGAAAAGACAGAAAAGAAATGGATAAAAATGCATTTTTCAGACAAATTAAATTTTAAAATGTTACTTCGCTTGGCTGCTTTTTTGATATATTCCACACCATCCATTGTGATAATACGTACATTGCTGGAGTTTTTTGCCAGCCCAAACCATCGCCTTGCCAACTCAACTACCACTGGATCTAATTCCACCCCAGTAACTGTTATCTAAAAATTAAAAAAAAAAAAAAATGATAAAATCATCAGTCGGTTGACAACTTTTCCATGCTGGAACAGAAATATGTACACAGGAAACATGTATACAATATTTGCCAGTTTATCTTCTAGCAGATTTACATGCCTCCGCCTGCGATCACTTTTTTTACCCTCACTTCTATCGCGTTTTTTTGACCGTGTTTCCTCACTGTATTTGCAGTTTATCACTATAATCAATAAATGCATTATAACGCGGATTAACTTCAACATCAGGAGAATCGGAAAAATCGATTTTCCGCTTGAAGTCAGTACTTACCACTACACCAAACACATCAGCATAACTTCATTTCCTCGCATTTACCTGGAATACTTGGAAAAGCTGCAAGTCATAGTTCTGCCACACCTTTGGAACTGGTAACTTTTCCATCGACAACGGTTTTTTTTTTGTATTTTCTGTATCTACATCAACTTATGCACCCACGAATTAATGGACAAATTTAACTCGCGATGGTTTTCCTATCGTTTTAATACGTCATCGGTACTAAACAACTTTCGTCCTCTGCTCGCAGTTAGAATTTTATCACAAAATCTCATGCGATTAATATAAGCAAGGTGAAACGGGGGCAAATTTCTAAAATTTGAAGAAAAAAAAAAAGGGACCTTCGGAAACTGACTTGTCAAAAACATATGCATGCTGCCACCACCAAGACCGATAATGAGAATTTTCGCATTCAGCTGCTGATCACTGGACAACGATAATGATGAGAGAGCGAACGGGGCTGTGAGCATCACTGCAACATACTGCGAATGGATATGTGTATGATTCACGCGCCAAAATCGCGAATCCGATTGTTCCGATTTGATTCCTGCAAAAAAATAGTCCGAGCCCATTAAACTGGCAAAAAACTGCATCGAAATAGCCTTTCCCTTGCAAATCGATTTCCAGTTAGGATTAATTCATTATCTGTGTGAGGTGGAGACACTCGGAGGTCACTTGAGATGCCGCATACTATCAGGAATTTGCTTGCGCGTCTAACGATGGTGTTCACTTTCGAAAAAAACTGCTTAAAAATAAGCTGATTTAGCTTGTTCGGTATCTGTGTATGCAGCTAGGGGATGAAACACAGACTGCACCACAAAATTTCTTCATACAAATGACATTCAGGTGAAATCCTCCCATTCTTCTATTTTAACTAATTCACCATTGAATAAACAAAAAAAAAAAGCTTATTTTTCCCACTTGCAGAACTTAATTATTGTTTTTCAGCCCGCACATTTAAAAAAGAAAAAAAAAACAGTATCGCGTCGGTCCTCGTTTAAAAATATCCCAGGACAAAAGGCTATCGTATTTTAGAAAAAGGAACTATTATGCCAACTGTACGAATAATTTTAAAAGGAAATTACGTTTGTTTGCAATGCATAATTCATCAAACTGGTATCTTAGTATTGATAAATTGTCATTAGCAATAGCTGCTGGCTATAACAAGTCAACGCGCACAGCCAGACGGGGAAAGAATCGCAAATAAATGACTAATTTTCGTTTAAAAAAAAAAAAAAAAAACGGATATAAAGGATTGCGCCGAAATTCCATGGAAGATGAAATGTGCAAGAAGTGTTCGTCTTGAAACTTCACTGTCTTGCCTCGAACTCCTGACTAGCACCTTTGTTTCCCTCCTCTATCCTGCCCCCCAGAACGGCATCTGGGCACTCACATTCGCACTGTAGCGCCAGAATTTTTACTCCTGCGTTCACGAATCTCTTCTAACCGTTAAACTAGCTTATCATGATTCAAAAGTAGCAAAGTTCTGGACGAGGTGCAACGCATAACATACATCAATGGCAACTGGAGATTACTAAGAAGATCTTGCCAATTGCTTCCACCTGAGAATTTGTTGAGTCAACAATCTTTTCTGTCAGGATCGTCAACAGGCTGATCACCAAGCAACGCAATACCGCTCGGAGGAACTGGGAAAATTGCCAGAGAGAAAACAGATAATGAGCTGGAAGTTGATATAAATATTTTAAATATTACTGAAGATTTAAAAAGTTACCGGCAGGCGGAATAAGA